GGGGAACTTGGTTTCCATGGGGACTCCAGGAAAAGTGGTCTGGGCAATGTTCTCAGGTGCTTTCTCTGTGGCCACCGAGAGGTGTGGCGGACAAGACCGAGCTCTCACGATGAGTCAGTGTCAGCACATGTCACCTGCGCTGGGAGCCCCCCATGTCCCCTGGTTGAGCATTTTCACAGTCTTCTGAGGGAAGTGCATGAGGCACACCTGGCCCCTGGGGCCGTGCAAACACTAGTTTTGCCCTAACGATGAGCTAAGTGTCTGTGGATTTACTCTCCCTTCTGAGAAGGCACTTGGGACCAGAGGAAGGTCATGGAGGGGACACCTCATAGGAACGCTTTCAGCAGCCTCCTCTACCAGAGCTGGTGTGTCTCCTCTGTAGCCAGGTTAACGTCCCAAATTCTAGGGGTGATCGCTGCCCGTGGAGTCCCCCAAGCCTGCCTGGCTCTCTTTCTCTTAGAGACTGCAAGTCACACATCCTAGGAGGCCCCATACTCTGTCCCAGCCTGCCAGGAAGTCTGTCGCTCTCTTTTTATCCTGCCCATGCCTGGCATACAATAGGTGTTCATCACATGTCCTCGTATGAGCCACCCAAACAAGACTCACTGTTCCACAGACATGCCGTGTCCTTCCCTCCCGCTGGCCCTTTCCTTATTCTCTTTTATCCTTCAGGATGCCTGCCTCCATCCACCACCTCTTCCCACCCAGAGGCCCATGCCAATGCACGTCTCTGGGAACTTCCTGTCTTCTCTACCAGCGAGGAGGGGTCCCATCACTCTGTGCTCCTCCCTGCAGAGCCCCCTGATTGCATGCATAAGGTATTCCCACCCAACTCCAGGGGTGCCCTTCACTGTCTGTGTCAGCCTCTTCATGTGTGCCATTCCCCAACTTTGCAGTTGCATGGGGCAGCCCAGCATTGTCACACGCATGTTCTCACGGTTGTGTAGTTACCATGATCTCTCTTCATTTGTCCCCGCCACATGGATAGCTGAGGAGAGGACTTGCGCCCATCTCTTATGCCTTATCTGTGTCTGCTCTGATAGCCCTGCATTGGATGTTTCATCATTCAGCTCTGTGTTTTTTTTTTTTTAATCTATGGATGGAGGAACTAATTGAAACACTTTATTTGAAAAATGATGCATTAATCAATAAAAAATTTAAAGAAAAAGAAAAATGATGCAAAAGCACTGAGAAAATAACAGTTTCATAAGTTGATGTTGACAATGGTTGTCTGAGTTCGTTGGGGCTGCTGTAACAAAATACCACAGTCTCAGTGGGGTGTCAACAGCAGAGCCTTGTCTCCCGCAGGTCTGGAGGCTGGGGGCCCCAGGTCATGGCACCAGCGTGGTCTGGTTCAGGCCGGGGCGGGGCGCCTGCTCCCTGGGTGCGGACTTCTCTCTGTGCCTTCCCGTGCTGGGAGGAGTGAGGGGTGTCTCTGGAGCCTCTTCTATAGGTGCACTAATCCCTTTCAGTGGGACTCTGCCCCTTGAGCTAATCACCGCCCTAAGGCCCACCTCCTGATACCATCACCTTAGGGGTTAGCACCCAACATATGAATTTGGGGGTGGGGGGTGGGGAACACAAATATTCAGACCATACCAATGGTCAGCACATTGAAATCTTACCATGCAGTGAAATCGTATCATGACATATGTACATATATACATATGTATATACATATCACTTAACCCCTACAATTGCCCAGGGTAACATTGCTCAGCATTATTGTGCCTGTTTTGAAGGTGAAGAAATTGGGGCCCAGAGCGATGATTAACCTGCTTATGGTCACTCAGTAACGGATGCAGCCAGGGTCCCAGCCCAGAGGTTCCGGGGCAGAGCCCAAGGCGGCATCACTGATGAGGATTGTGCCATCAGCTGTGCTACCTTCATAGAAGGGGGCGTTGGCTTTCTCTTCCTGGTGCATCAGTGTGTGTTGAGCACTGTGGATGCCAGCCCCTCCGCGGGGCCCTGGGGATGGAGAAGAAAAGATGGCTCCTGTCCTCAGGGTGTCACAGTCTGGACCAGAGCCAGGGGTCTGAATGTGCATCACAGCGCCGTGCTATAGATGGTTCACTTGCCTTTCCTCTGCGGTGCTGAGTTAGCAGGAAAGGGACATGGATGTTCTCTGAGACAGTTTCTAGGAGGAGACGACTTTCAGAGGGAATTTTGAAGGATGAGCAGAAACCCCTGTTCAAGGAGGGGAGGGAATAGCACGAACCAGGATACAGACATCTGGTATCATCGCCCCATGTCTGAAATGACGCCATCCCTCCGTCCTGGATAAAAATGCAAGCTGGCAATTATACAGGCTTATCTTGCTCCAGCCTCCTCCTTCCATAAGGCTCTGCCGGGGCTCTGGGGGAGAGGGGAGTGGCTGTGCCAACGCTGAGGGCTAAGTGGACCATCTGTCTTCCCAGGGGCTTTGACCGGCTGCCCCTGACGTAGCCTCAGCTAAGCCTCTGGCCAGTGAGCAGACATGACCCCTCAGGCCACCGGTCCTCGTCAGGCTCCTGGCAGCCCTGCTGCAGGGAAACTGAGGGCAGGCCTGCTCCCCCCCATCCCCTTTGCACGGATGGTTCCGCGGAGGAATCTGCCGCTTTCAGACAGTGGTCCCATGGAGGAACTCTGTCGTGCTAATTGTTTCTGCCATTCACTTCCTTCAGATTATTGCCCTCATGCACCTGTTATGTGTATGGCAGGTTGGCCTTGGATAAGAGCTTTCTTCAGGTCCAGGCTCACTCGTCCAGCCCCACCCTGCTTGGCCACCTCACCTCACAGTTGGTGCACCCAATCCCCAAATTACCACCTTCCTCCAGCGTCTTTCCTCTTCCAGCCCCTGTCCTGGAGACATCAGCGCCCACCAGGAATCTCAGCGTCACCTTCGGCTGCTTCCTCTCCATTTTCCTCACATATAACTCTCTTCAGGACCCTCCAGATTCAGCCTCCTGGCCGGCCGCTGTCCTCTCACCGTCTTCATCAGATCCTCAGTCCACATGCATCTCGTCTAATCTCTTCCATGATGTGTCCACTTGTTACCCCTCCTCTGTCTACCATCCACCACCCATCCACCCAGTCAGATCCTTTGTGAATCCTACCACATCCCAGACACCAGACGCGGTCATGGGGCAATCCACTCAAACACACCTGGCACGATCCTTGACCTCCCTGAGCTCAGTCAGGTGAGATGTAGACCAGCAAGCAGGTGATCCCTACCTGCGGAGAGGCATGTGGTACTGAGGTGCCTGCCTGTGAGGAAGGGCCTGACCTAGTCGGGGTAGTCAGGGCAGGATTCAAAGAGCAAAAGGCAGCCCTCAGAGCTGAAGACTGGGTGATGGGCCATCCAGTGCTGAATGGGGGGCGAGGAGGAGCAGAGGCCAGACAGGGACCGAGGTGAGGGCAGGGATGGCGTGTCTTTACTCACCCCGTGTCCCCTGCATCCTGCCCATTGCCTGGCAGATCGTGTGTGCTCAGTAAGTATTGACCGAATGAGCCAGGGCGAGAGGGTTTCCTGCAGAGCAAACTGCATCGGAGAAGGCTCGGGTAGAAAGAGAGCGTGGGGACGGGAGGCTGGGAGCCGGGCTCTGAGTCTGGCCCTTAGCACAGGGCTGCCCGGAGGCCGGGAGCTCAGGGGCAGGCCACGCTGCTCCCCACACCTTGCTGATGGAGTCCAGGCTGCTTAACGATGGTCATTGCTTCCTGTGCCCTCTCATCTCCCCCTTCTCTGCTCTAACCGTAGAGTCCTGCTCACCACTCCCTGTCCCAGCACCCCTGTGTGCGGCCACAGTCCCTTTATTCTCCTCTCTCCCTTCACCTCCTGTCAGTCGTCTATCTGTTAAGGCGCTGCGTCTCCCACTCATACACGTCCTTCGGACCCGGTCAGAACTGGCCCTTCCGTCTCTTTGCTCCCATAGCACTTGTGTGCTGTGCAGTCATTGCCACATGATCACACTCCACTTCATGATAATGGCGTTTCACTGTGGGCCGCCCGTCTCTGCAAACAGGATGAGCTCCTTGAGGTCAGAGGGACCAGGTGGTTCTCATCCGTAGGTGCTCCGGCATCATATTAAAACTTCTGTTGTTGTTTTTACCAGCACAATAGTATTTATGATAGTTCTTCTGTATCAAACTAATTGCGTTGTGCCCGGTAGTCCCTCAGGAATCCGGCATGTCTGCTGTTTATGAATATTCTATGTTTGCTATTGATATGCATTATAGATGGCACTTATTTCATTTAATCGGTACAGTGGCCTGATGAAGAGGTGTTTCCAACATTTAACAGAGGAAGCATTAGGTGTGCGGAGGTATACCTGACTCAGGTGTGGGGAGATATACATGACTCAGGTGTGGGGAGGTATACCTGACACAGGTGTGCGGAGGTATACGTGACACTGGGTAGTCCACACTCCTGAATGCCAGCTCTGGGAGTGAACTCAGCTTTGCCCTGTGTAATGCTGAGCTGTACTCCAGTGCCGCCTCTGTAAGGCTGGTTGACAGAGGTGGGATGAAGAAAAGCTGTAGAAGCATGAACAGTGAGGTACACTGATATCCAGTGACGGGCCCCTGGTGACTCCTTCTGGGTGCCTGGTTTTCTTTGGGAGAGAAACAAGCAGGAAACAGACCTCAGGATGGTGCCGGCTGCACCCAGCGGGCGAAGGAAGCCAGAAATAAGGGGCCAGTCTGAGTGTTACCGTGCTCCACTTAGGACACCCGGGAACACAGGTGTCTAACTCAGAGGTACGGTGGTTGGCTTGGATGGCGTGTCACCAGCCATTTCACCCTCCTGGTCCTTGTCGTCACCTGAAAGGCTGAGGTTGGTAGCATGTCATCACTCCTTGCCAGCCCCGCCACCCTCGCCAGTGGGCACTGGTTTGGTCACATGCCTGATTTGCTTTCCCAGTTGCTGTTGGAAACTGGCCACAGGTAGAGGGTGGGTGAGGGGTGAGGGTGTGCTTTTGGGGCTCAGTGCTCCCTGCTGACCCACGCCCTGTCACTCCCCACAGGCGGAACCCTCTGCACTTCCACCTCATCGCCGACTCCATCGCCGAGCAGATTCTGGCCACGCTCTTCCAGACCTGGATGGTGCCCGCCGTGCGCGTGGACTTCTACAACGCGGATGAGCTCAAGGTACGG